GTTATTTCTGACTCATGTTTGAACTGATGTACCCTATGTCTGCTATTAATAGTGAAGCTTTCAGTATTTTGCAGACTAATAAATTGTTTTCTGTTTCATTTTATTTTATGGGTGTTTTGTTGGACTAAGATTTTTATTCATAATTTCCTATGAGCTACAGTAAGATTTATAAGTCATTACTGATACTTAATCTTACCAACTACTTTCTCTGTATCCAATTAAATTTACTATGTATTTCATCTTTTAATCCTATCATGTTGTAGTTAGAATATTTTGATTACTTTATTTAATTTGCTTTTTGATTTGTGACCATTATTAGAAATACTTTAGTTTTCCTTTCACGTAATATGAGGGATTTTGTTGTTGTTGTTTGTTGCTGTTCTGTTTTTGTTTTTGTTTTGCCAGTCCTAGGACTTGAACATAGGACCCTGATGCTGTTCCTGAGCCTCTTTGTATTCAAGGCTCTACCACTTTAGCAACAGCACCACTTTCAGCTTTTTCTGAATAGTTTTATTTTTCCTTGAAATACAATTTTCTATTATAAATATAGAACAGATTTTTACAAACAATTCAGAAGTGGCCTTAGCCAGACAATATTAAATAAACCCAGTGTAGCATGGATGAAGGAAAGTACATACAAGCAGTGTCAGGATTCGAAAGCCCTGTGAGAGGTACCTAAGGAGAACAACTCCCAACAAATTCTCTTGGAGGAGGTCTGGAAGGCAGGGCATGTGATCACACAATTAACAGTCCAAAGAGATAGCACTTGTGTGGCAGAAGAGTGCTGTGGTAGAGTTCTATTTGCCTATCTTTCTTTTGTCCTTTTTTATTCTAAGACATCTTGGATGTCACATACCCCATGAGAGGAGAAGACAAGTTTCAGAGCCTGTTCAGAAAGCCTCATGAGCCTGATTATATTCTTCCATTCCCGTCCTCACACCCTTTCCTTTCCCACTTCTCATTTCCCAGAGGGCCTTAACCTGCCATGAGCTAGGGTGAGTTCTCTAAAGGATGTTCCACATTCTCTTTGCAAGGAACCAAACACATTGTAGCAAAAGCCAAGGTTTGCCAAGAGCATGGGGAAAGGGGAGCAAACAGGTAAAGAAATGCATAGGCAGAAACATGAGAAACAAGGTAGCTGATACCTGGCACAAGATACATAGAAATGGAGTTTGGTCCATTTCTAGCAAGATGGAGGAAAGCCTCTGGGGCTTGAACTCAGAGCCTGGGCACTGACACTGAGCTCTTTTGCTAACTGAAGGCTAGTGCTCTACCACTTTGACCCACATAGCACCACTTCTGATTTTCTGATGGAGATTAAGAGTCTCACAGACTTTTCCTGCCCAGGCTATCTTTGAACTGTGATCCTCACATCTCAGCCTCCTGAGTAGCTAGGATTACAAGTGTGAGCCACCAGAGCTCGGCTTCTGGTTATTTTCTATTTGGAGCTGTTCACAAAAAAAAATTAAAAAGCTTATTGACGATAGGCTAGGATTACAGGCAAGAGCCAATGGGCCCTGGGTTGTAATATGAGTTTTTATAAATTAAAGACAACAAAAAACAAAAACAACTTGATCTCTTCTGGCACTACAAAATGAGTTTGGAAAAATTCTGTTTCCTATTTTCTGGAAAAGAGTAGGTAAATTAATGCTATTTTTTCTTAATTGCCTAGAAAATTTAACAATAGTCATGTGAAGCTAGAATTTTGGTGGAGATAGAGTTTTTTTTGTATTTAATTTCTTTATTGTTAATCAGATTTTCTATTTTTTCTTGTGTCTATTTCATGTTATATTTTTCTAGGAATTTTTTTAGTCCAAATAAATTTTTCAAGTAGTTGTTTATTCACTGATTTATTAAAAATAGACAATAAATACTAAGAGAGATTAGGCTTATTTCAGTAATGTCTTGTTTCCAGGATTAGCAATTCCCCACTCACCCTATGTTCACACCTATCTCCTTATCATTTTCATTAGCTTTTTCAGATTAAAAAAATGGGGCTGTGTTGATTCTTTCCACTGGACAATTCTCATTTTCCATATGTATATTTATTTGCTTTTCTACTTTTTGTCTTCCTGCTTCTCCTTCTTCATTTTTTGTGTGTAATCATTTTGTTTTTCTTTCCTCTTTTTGGAGGAGGAAGGTTTTGATATGTAGTCAAACTGGCTTTCAAACACTTGTGATATTCCTACTTCAGCTTCCCATTTCTGGGATAAAAGACATTATATATCACTACTGCTGGCTGCCTTTTGCTTCTCTAGCCTTTTGAAACAGAGTCATTCATGTAGTCATTATTCATTCCTATTGGCTCTTTTCTAAGCATTGTTTAATTTTAATTTAACACAATATATTTTATTCTTAGTTTCAAATTTTTATTTGACTTACCATATGATTTAATTTTTGTTTAGTGGGGTATTTGGAAATGTCTTGCTCAGTTCTCATACACTTGAGGATTTTATGGTTATCTTTTGTTACTGATTTTTTTTGGGGGGGGGCCCAGTTGTGAGGCCTGAACTCTGGGCCTGGGCACTGTCCCTCAGCTCTTCAGCTCAAGGCTAGTGCTCTACCACTTGAGCCACAGTGCCACTTCCGGCTTTTTTCTTTTTGTTTATGTGGTGCTGAGGAATCGAACCCAGGGCCTCATGCATGCAAGGCAAGCACTCTACCACTGAGCCACCTTCTCAGCCCTTGTTACTGATTTTCTAACTTATGCTATTATATTAAAAAATACAATGTTTTATTTCAGTCTTATGAATTTTGTTGATACTTTTTGTTTTTTCATGGTTTCATATAATCACAGTTTGAGGTACACTTGAAAACAGTTATTGTCTACTGACTTAAAGTACCAGTTACATCAAAAAAGGAGGTAACATTGATGATCAGTTGTTTAGATTTTCTACATTCTACCTAATTTTTTTTATTGCTTTATAAGTTACTTATTGTAGGAATACAGCTAGTTGTTCTGACAAAAAATTTATATTTTTAAAAAGTTAGTGAAATGTATTAAAATCACTTAAAATTATTGTGAAAGCTTAAACATAAAAAAGTAGTATATGTATTTCTAGTGTTCTTTCTTCCTGCTAACATCTGCCAGTTTTTATCTGAGATCCCATTCCTTCTGTCTGGAGTTGTCCACTATTATGAGTCTGGTGCCAATGGAAAAACATTCTGAAAATCTCTTAATTTTCTTTATTATTAAAGGCTATTTTCACCAGGTAAAGATATTCCTTAGGCCCTATGGAGCTCTTTGGAGATATTCTGTTGTGTTCTGTTTTTCATCATCTCTCTTGAGAAGTAAATTAGTTCTGCCTCATTTTGAATTTTCTATTTTTATTTTGTCTTTAGTAATTTGACTATACTGGGCCTAGATATGATTTTGTAAGTCTTATGACAGTACTGCTGCTTGAACTCAGGGCTACATGCTCTCCCTTAGCTTATTTGCTCAAGACTGGAACTCTACCACTTGAGCCACTCTTCTATTTCCAGCTCTTTTGCTCATTAATTAGAGATCAGAATCTCATAGACTTTTCTATGCAGGTTGGCTTTAAACTGTGATCCTCAGATCTGAACATCCTGAGTAGCTAGGAATATAGGCAAGAACCACTGGCACCTAACAATATTCAATCATTTTTTTTTCCTAGCAAGATTGATCTGAGAATATGGTACAAAATAAACTCAAAGTCTAGAATCTGAAGCTCTACGAAGGAAATTGTTAAAATTGTCAAGACTTATATTTTGCTTTTGAACTGTGGTAACATTCTTGAAAATTGAAGATAAATTTGCTAACGATGATGTTTTGTAAAGGAATTTGACAAGGTTTAGTGATAGTTTAGATGAAGGGAGAAGAAAGTTCGCAAGATGTTCAGTTAGAGTCCCTGTCAGGGAAAGGAAATCTCTGTACAAGTGTCACCTTTTTTCTTCACACAATCTAGGGATCTAATGAGATCATGAGGGAAGTAACTAATGCCCTACTCTGACTTCATATTTTTAGGAACTTCTCATAAGAACAAGATCTTAAATTTCAAATAGAAAAGCTAGGGTTGGCATTTGAATATATACATTCTAGCGAAAGAAAAAAAAAACCATTTTGGGAAGTCATGCAGATGGTAAATACATTGTATTACAAGATTCTGACAGCTTCCTAAAGTATCTTTTTTTCTAGTTCAAGAATTTTGCGACATCTTTATCTAAAGCATGAGTTTAAACATTTGTAATTTATGATAATTGAGTTGCTATTTGGAGCTGCTTCTTTTCCTTAGAAAGCAGAGTCTTCTAGGATTATCAATAATCAGGGATTGAATTTGAAGAACAAACAGGGTTTGATGTTGGAAACACAGGTTTTATCCAGACCAGACACACCTAGGGTAAAAGCAAAGCAATCCTGGATGCTTACCATTCCCCTCTATGTCTGATCAAACTACGGAGTCAGTTTGACAGGTCATAAAAACAGTGGAATAGAATGAAAACATCATAGCTGTCTGACTCACAGATAATATTTAAACCCTATGAGGAGTAATTTGCTTCTTACTACTTAGTTAACCATTTCACAAAATTAGAATAATAATGATTTCATAGGCCATGAAACTGAGATACAAAATAATTCATACCATAGGCACTGTGTATGCATTCACACATCATAAATGGTCGGTGATATTGTCTCTTGAATATAGTTCCTTCCTATTCATCAGACTTACTTTCCATCTCAAAATTGTATAGATGGAAATGTGAAGATGCTCCCTTGTGAAACATCATGTTGGAAGTAGAAATGATCGCACTTTGGGGTGATAGTGACTACCAGGAAAAATATTCAAAAATATGTAAAGGTTTTGCATGTAAGGTATGGCAGTGACAAAGGTGAGGTGTTTGGTGGGGCTAGAAATTTCAGGAAATTTCATGTGTACTAGTAGGGATATAAATAACCAGAATGAATGATTCCTCATGGACCATGAGGCATGATTTGCTTTCATTTCAGCTACCATCTTGCCTCTTTTCTGTTTCACCAGTGAGAAGAAACTCATCACAGATGCCCTAAATAAAAACCAGTTTCTGAAGCGACTGGACCCTCAGCAGATCAAAGACATGGTGGAATGTATGTATGGGAGAAACTACCAACAAGGCAGTTACATTATTAAGCAAGGAGAACCAGGAAATCATATCTTTGTGCTGGCAGGTAGGCCTTACAGATTTTTCCCATTATGATATGACATATGTTTCATCTATTATGATTTTTTACAAATGGTTCTAAAAACACAGAATCAGTTGATCTATTTGTAGAAAATGTAACAGATTTGAATTCATAAAATAGCAGCATTATTGATCAAATTGTAATGGTAATATTTATCAAATGCTTTCTGCGTATCAGGCGTTGTATTGCCTGATATATTGTCAACAGAGATCTCATTTCATCTCCCACTAACTCCACAAGAAAAGTGCTATTATTTCCCTCCATATTGCTATTGGAGGTTATTATCTTCGTATTACTCATCTCGGGGAGGTTAAGAAATTTATCCAAGGTCACATAGCTGAGAAAGTAAAGCTCAAACTCACAATCAAGTATTTTGCAATCACAGTACCACTTATGGATAAAAAAGGCTCTCTATTCAAAGTATAGTTCCTTATGTTGACATGATTAAACAATCACATCAGGAAAAAAAATGGTTTTTGTGGTTCTGGAAACTTTGGATTTTATATACCAATGGTCTTAAAAGATAATTTAGATACGTTTAATCAATAGACAACTCAATGTCTTCCAATTAAAATGTGTTTTCAGAACTATTTGTCCTTGATCACTTGAACATGCTTACATGTTAGAAACTTAGAAAAGATCAAAGTTTCATTTTTGAAATGTGTAGATCTTGTGATGGTCAGTTAAGAAATTATTATTATTGTTGTTGTTGTTGTTATTTAGATATAGAAGCAAGAAATTATCTCAGGAGGGATTAGGGTTATTAGATGCTTTGTCAAAATCTGAGTTGCTCCTACTTTTTGAGTCTGAGGGAAGAAAATTAAACTGACTTACCCAGAGAGTGAGATAACCTGAGATTGGTTGTGACATGTTTTCCATGGTAGTTCTGAAACACCTAAGTAATACCCTATCTGTTTCCTAGAGGTTTTATTTGTAAGGCATGGGGGCAGGAGTTTGTCTAGGTAAACAAGTTAATAGACATATATTATCCTATCTGCATTGTGGGAAAGCTTATTTTCATATCCTTGGATTCTTTAAACATGTGAGCTTTATAATTACATGTGTATTTTTTCCATATAATCGTATAATTTTCATAGGCAACTCTAAAATTCTTCGATCACTCGCAAGCAAATGTTCAAGCAGTGAATTTACGGTCTGAATTTATGCAGCCTTCAGATTTATAGGGACAAGTGTTCCAGAGTAATTGTTGATCCAGACTACTTTTCCTTCTTACAACTTTTCTCTTGGTTATTGCACATTGATTTTAGCAACACTAGAGCATTCTGGCAAGAGAAGATAGGTCATTATGTCAACAAATATTTATGGAACCTGCTAGGAAAAGATGAGAAACTCGTGTCAGCTTGTCTTGTTCCTTGCCAATAACTCTGATGAAAGGCTTGGGGAGGGAAGAGGTTGGACAGAAGTCAGCATGAATGCAGCTATTGAAATCAAGGCCATAGTACACATGAAAATGAAAATTGGATGGTTTCTTACTTGAATTAATTATGGTGTCATCTAAAGGCTGAATTGCCTGGTTTAATTATCAGGCTGAGCAAATTAATTTAATAATTAAAAATCCCCCTTGATAAAATATAACATGAATAGCAAGTAACGCAAGCATATTTAACTTAAGACATTTGATATTTCATGTAATTCTTCAGCAGTTCTCAAGCCCCATGGGTCATAACCCATCCGGAAAAAATCCTTGAAATGCATCAAGAGCTATGGTATCAATTGGACAGTACTACTAAATGGTTTTGATGGAATCAGTTAGCTGTAATGAAAAACTATTAAAATTTTAATGAAAATCCATTAAGAATTAGTACCTAATCTGTGGGATCTGGAACCAAAGCAGAACTGTCGACTATAAGTTCTATCAAAATACTATTTTCTTCTCGGCCCACTCTGTTGCTCTGGCACTTCAAATAGTTCCTGGGTATGTTTGTGGGGCCTCAGATCAAATTTGCCTAGTTAGTGAATGGACTCAGATGCCACAGCGCTACTTCATGGAAAGTTAGGAAAGTTAGGAAAAAGTCTAACTCCTGAGCAGAAAGAGACATCACTCCATCAGTTTTCTTCCTTTAAGAATTTAAATATTTTGTTCATTAGTTTAATGTGATTAGATTCTGTTTGAAGAGAAGAAGAGTGAGTTTAGGGCAAAACAATTGTGGAAAGCTTACGTTAGTCTGCCTTCCTCCATTTTTTGCCTAGGGTTAGACGGGGCAAAGCACTCTCGTTAGTGACTTCCTTTTAAAATAGTTATTATATTGAAATGAAACCAAGGTTTAATAATGGTGAAGGATCTTGCAGGATTCAAACAGCCAATAAGGAAGGGAGCCAAGACCCAAAACTGGTGTTTATCCATTATGACAAGCTGGCCTTCCCATGGCCAAAAACTGTGCAATGTTTTCAAGACATCTATAATTTTTGAGCTCCTACTCAGCAAGAAATAGTTTTATGTGCTACATTTTTCCTAGAGTAGAATAAATTTTAAACAAACAACTTGTCATCCACTCTTTCGAGGAAAGAGCTTTGTTACATTAATAACAGTATTAATCATAGTTAATACTTAAATTGAATTTACGGTGTGCTACCCATGGTTCTAAATTCCTTGTTTATATTTTTTTAATTCTCATGACAAATTATGAAGTGGATATTGTTATTGTTTTTATTTCCATTATCAATGAAGAACTTCAGGAAAGTATTTTTCTCAAGATAATCCACAGAGCTGGCCTCACATTGATCAATAACCATTGTATTTGAGTCATGCTGTGTATTCAGACATTTAATAATCAAAAGAAAACTACAATTCAAGAAATTAAAATTACATGAAATTCAAAGTTTAATTCCCATAAAGTTTTATCAAAACACAACACACACACACACACACACACACACACACACACACACACACACACACACCATATTTTACCTGTATGCTGTGAATGATTTCTGAGTTTCTTAATTTATAGGATATAGGTAGATTTTGATGATTTGTATTTTTCTTAAATTGTACTTCACAGAGGGCCGATTAGAGGTGTTCCAAGGAGAGAAGTTGTTATCATCCATCCCTATGTGGACAACATTTGGGGAACTCGCCATTTTGTACAACTGTACACGAACAGCCTCTGTGAAAGGTAACAGGAGATGAAATTCCCCAAATCGTTACATGGTATTAAAGTTTATCTCATTAAGTCAGGCTTGCATCCTGGTCCAGTTTTTTTTTTGTTTTCCTATTTCTCTATATATGCTTCATTAATAGAATTGTTATGCTATATTAGAATTTATAATGAAACACCTAAATAGATCAATTGAAAAAGACAATTTCTCTCATATACACCTATATGTCATAGGAAAATACCTTCAAATTGGCAAATTCCAGTATTTCTTTAATTACTGTTACTTTGCTTTTTTTTTTTTAAACTATGTAGATTTTGACTTGTCCTGAATGATTCCTTCTTTGTCTCCATGAGTTTCTGACCATATTATGAACCAGAAAAATTAAAGCAATGAAAATGTGTGTATATATACACACATTGTATTTACACACACACACACACACACACACACATATCTCAAAAAGGATGTCAAGTAATGAGAATTTATGTGAATGAGTTTTTCAGTTTATTAGCTTCTTCTAGGATTCTTGTTTTTGTATATTAATGTTATTATTACAAATTCTACAGAATTATTCAGGTATGGTATGTAGGTTGGGTTATGTGGATTATCACTGTGAACTGTTTGAATAAAACTCAGATTCCAAGTCTCTACTCACATTTAAAAAGAATTTCTGGCCAGTGGCCTGGGGAATTTATATTTTTAACAACAATTCTGAGATCATTCCAATGCATTCTAAAAGTACAATTACCAGAGCTTAGGGTTATTATTCTTTCTTTTTTTTTATGGTGGTTTGTGGACTACAGGGCTGGATGCTCTTCTTGAGCTTCTTTTGCTCAAGGTTGCTCTATCACTTGAGCCAGAGCTCCACTTCTGGCATTTTGGTAGTTTATTGGAGATAAACAAAGGAAGAGGCAACAATGCTCAATAGGAAATGTACTCATTACCATGCTCATGTAACTGTAACCCCTTTATAATGCATTTTTACAATAAAAAATGTACAAAAAAAAAGAGTCTCATAGATATTTTTCCCTGAACTGGCTCAAACTGCAATCCTCAGAAATCAGCCTCCTGAGTAGCTAGAATTACAGGGATGATCCACTGGAACCTGGCATCACCATCATCATCATCATCATCATCATCATCATCACTTTTTGAAGTAATTGTACAGAGGGTTTCAATTCAATATGTCATTTTTTTATAATTTTTAATTTAATTCAATTTTATTATAAGGGTGATATCAGAGGGGGTACAGTTACGTAAGTAAGGTAATTGAGTACAGTTCTTATCAAACATTGTTACCCCCTCCCTTATTCTCCCCCACTTTCCCTTCCTCTCCACTCTTCTCCCCCCCCCCCCAAGTTGTAAAGTTGTAAAGTTCATTTGTGAGTACCTCTGTTGTCCCTTTGTCTCACTACTTTGTTATTTCCTTTTCCTTCCCCAAATCAGATAAACATATACACAAGACATGGGGTACCAAAATCAAAAACAGTGGTAAGAGGTGATAAGCCAAATGGGGAAAAAAGAAAGAACTTAGCTGGGCGCCAGTGGCTCATGCCTGTAATCCTAGCTACTCGGAAGCCTGCGATCTGGGGAGCGCAGTTCAAAGCCAGCCCAGGCAGGAAAGGCCATGAGACTTATCTCCAATGAACCACCAGAAAACTGAAAGTGTCACTGTGGCTCTAGTGGTAGAGCACTCACCTTGAGCTGAAGAGCTCAGAGACAGCGCCCAGGCCCAGAGTTCAAGCCCCATGACTGACCCAAAAAAAAGAAAAGAAAAGAAAAAAGAAATAAATGAAATAACTTCACACAATACATTAAAAAAACAAAAACAGAAACAAAAAAAATCCCAAATCCCGTATCTTGTTTCCATATCTTGCAATTTGTTTAGCATCATTTTATATGGTCATATGTACATAGCCATTGAGCTATTGTAATCTGCTAATAGGACCATCCTAGACATATAGTAGTTATTACAAACCTTGGAGCCTATGTTTCTTTGGGTCTGGCTTACTTCACTTAATATGATTTTTTCCAAGTCTTTCATTCCCTTAAGAATGGGGTAATCCATTGTGTATATATATACATTTTCTTGATCCATTCATCTACTGAGGGGCTTCTGGGTTGGTTCTATATCTTAGTTATGGTAAATAATGCTGCAATGAACATAGCTGTGTTGGTAGCTTTAGTGTGGCCTGTTTGTGATTGTTTGGGTAAATGCCCAGGAGTGGTATTGCTAGATCATTGGGGAGCTCTACGTTTAGTCTTTTGAAGAACCTTCATACTGCTCAACATGTCAATTTATTAATACAATGCATCTATACTCATAAGTTAATGTCACCCTCTGTATACAGTTTTTTTTTTAGAATTTCTACTGCTGATTTATTTCCATTTGGGATTTTATGTTTTCTTTTAATGTCTTTCTATAAAAATATTGTCCCCTAATTTTTTGTAGTCTCTTAAAATTATTTGCATGTGTTTTATATGTAAGTAATCATTGAGAACAATGTTTAAATAACACAAAAAGAGATGTAAAACACACATAACCCAGAGATTTTAATTTCCAATTCCTGTTTGTGAATGCATCACTCTAAATTTATACAGGTTTGCTAGTCTTCTCTAATAGAACAACATTAATCTGAATTACATCCTGATGATGTAGTACATAATTGAGAATTGCAAACATTTGCAGATCATTCTAACCAAAACATAATTAGAAAGGAAATCTTCCACTACCCACTTCCAGATCATGGTACATTTCAAAGTCAAAATGATTTATAAAATTAGTCACTTTATTTCACTGCTTCCTTCCATTTACATTTTTAAATGATGCATTTTCCAAAAACTGCCAAATCGTTGAATAATCTTCGGGAATGCTTTCTTTGTTTCTCATTTTGTTAGTTTGATGATCTCCTGCTTTGCTCCATCTTCAGTCCTCATTTTCACTGGTTATTTTTGAGTTAGGATCTATTTTCTTGTTTGAGAGTTTGTGTTGTGCCTGGACTGTGATTTGACTGTTTTAGGCTGTGCTAACAGAGGTTTGTCACCAAACCCTTCTTTTTGTTGAGATGGCATCTCCTAAACTTTGCTGCCTTGGCTGGTCTGGAACTATCATCTTCTCAATCTCAGTCTCCCAAAGATCAAGGGTTACAAGTGTGAGCCATTGGCACGTGGCTAGAATGATTTCTTCATGCAGTACTAAAAATGTTGTATTGTTTTCTTGATTTCTTTCTTTAGCCATTACCAATGTTAAAACTTGGGCACTTGACCGAGAGGTTTTCCAGAATATAATGAGAAGAACAGCCCAAGCTAGGGATGAGCAGTACAGAAACTTTCTCAGAAGGTAAGAATGACCCCATGGGGAAAAGTGAAAAGGTATGTCGGCATAGTATAGATATGTGGGTTTAAGCAGAATAAATATTTTATTATAGTTTCTCCTCTGTAAGTATTTTCCATGTTGATAAACCAAAGAATGAAAGTATTCTCTTATATTAAATGTCACTGCATCAAAATTTATATTTAATTCCCATTAGTTTAGGTCCTGATTTCCTTTTCCATTATTTTGCCCTTGTATTGATTGAGCCATAGTGTACAGTACTGAAAATAATGTATAAATACTCCTAAATAAATCCACATTGAATGCTTACTTGGCTGATGAGGTTTGAGGTTTGAAAGAAAATAGCATAATGTTGCTTTTCTAACTCTTCTAACAGGTACACATTCCTTTTCTCATTTACATAGTCATACTATTGCCTAACTCAGCATTATTTGTTGCAGTTTAACTTGCCCAAATTATGACTGATCGGTGGCATATGCTAATTTCAGGAAATGTCTGTACCTCAACAACTTGAAACATCAATTATAGAGAAGCACATGTCTATGTGACTTAGAAAGCCAGTTCCAAGTTAAGGGAAACTTTTGAGACTATAAGTTCCATATCTTAAATACTTTTATATCGTTTGTGAGAGTTCTGACAATCTCTGTATCTGTAAAAGATTCTGTAATGAAGTGTTATATGATAAATGGGAACAATAATAATATTGCACTTCAGGATTTCAAAAGTAAATATGAAGTTCATCTTAAGTAAAATAGTGTGGTTTTTATATTGTATAGCAAGCCTGTGATGCCAATGATTTTAGGGCTGCACAGTGCCTTAGCCTATAGTGTGGGCTCCATAAACGCCTAAGGAATGCACTGTTAATCAGTAGAATATTGCAGGTGTTAAGGTATCTCAAGTAGAATTTTCTTGGTTTTCCCTCTCAGCCACAACAATGACTCTTGGCAGTGAGCCACAATAATGACAAGAAAGTGTCTTACCTATCTTCTAGCCAGTACCTTAGTCATCATTCTGTGAGATCTACCTGAATATAGGTAATCTCAAAATTTAACAATCTAGCCTGGAAGGTCAGCATTTAAAGCTAATAACCTACAGTTCTGCACAGGCCAAAAAAGAACTTCATCAATAAACCTATGCCTCTGGGTCATGTTTGAATATTTGAGATAAAACTCAAATTGCCCTGTATAGCAGTTCATTCTTTTGGAGTCTAGTATGTTCTGATTTAGTGGCAGGAGCTCAGATAATCTACTATTACATCACTTTTTTCTTCCTTTATTTTGTTATATCATTCGTCGATTCAACACATTTATTACCAGGCATTAAGCAATGTAGAATCATTGGTGGACAAGATAAACCTGATCCTTCTTTTCTTTGCTTTTCTTTGCTTTGCTTTGCTTTGCTTGTCCTTTGTGGGGCTTGAACTCTGGCATGGGCACTGACACTCAGCTCTTCAGCTCAAGGCTAGCTCTCTACCACTTGATCCACAGTGCCACTTCTGGTTTTCTGAGTGGTTTATTGGAGAAAAGAGCCTCAGGGGCTTTACTGCCTGGAATGGCTTTGAACCTCGATCCTCAGATCTGAGCCTCCTGAGTAGCTAGGATTAAAGGTGTGAGCTACCAGCACCCTGCTGATCCTTATTTTCATAGAGGGAAGATAGGCTGAGATTTTTCCTCATATCTGTTTCCCCATCATTTTTCACATGTGATAGGTTTAATATGTAAAGAGCTAAATTTGGACAGGATGTAATATTTTTATAATAAAGTTGTGTGAAATAATGCCAAATTTTGGCTACCATATTATCACTTCATCTCTAGGGAGATATGCTAGGGGAACATGTTTTTCTTTGTTTCAGAATATACAATAAGCTCTTTCTTTTTTCCTTTACAATTTTATTCTAAAGTATATAAGATATGAGTTATATACTCCACATGTAAGTTACAAAGTCACCCACAATTGCACTATTGGGAAATGAAACGAGTACATTGGAAAGACAGCTGCACAACATTATTCTCAGTACAAAAGAAAAGAAACAAGAAAATTGTCAATTAACCAATGAATTGATAAAGAAAAATACTACCATTTGTACAGTAGAACATTATTTGTCCACAAAAGGAGTGAAATCCTGTTATTTGTGCTGATAGAGTTGGTCATGAAGATTACTATATTAAGTGAAATAAGCCGCACAGAGGAAACCAAGTTCTGCATGATCTCACTCATATGTTATATCTAAGAGGGCTGAGCTCATAGAAGTTGTGAGTACAATGGTGATTGTTAGAAACTGGAGAAGGTGGAAGGAGGGATGAAGAAATGTTGATCAACTGAGTACTGAATTATAGGTAGATAGGAATATGGAGTTCTAGTGTGCTATTTCACAGTAGTATGAACGTAGTATTGATAATGTAGTTTATATTTGAAAAAAGGTAGAAGAAAGGAATCTACATGCTATTACCATAAGTTACAGATATTTGAGAACAGAGAAACATTTACTTGAATTTAAACAGTGCAAAATGAAATTGCGGAAACGGTATTCACAAGACAATATGTTGGAAATGATTTGTACAACTTCGGGGGAGATTGGGGAAGGAAGGAAATGGGAGAAAAATGAGGGAAGGGGTAACAAGTATGACAAGAAATGTACTTATTTCCTTACTTATATAACTGTAACACCTCTACACATCACCCTGACAATAAAAAAATAAACAGTGCAAAATGATACATGTATAGACATATCATAAAGTGCCCCATACAAATATATAATTTTTATGATTTTATGTATCACTTTAAAATGCATCTACGTTTAGAAGATCATAACAGTATCCATGAAGCTATTGCCCAATCCGAGGAACAGAAAGTTAGCTTAGTTACTGAATTTCTTATGTGTTCTGATACGTCTAGCCTCCCATTCCCCTCCCTTGCGTCATAGAGTAGCTTGAGTGTGTAGCTTAGTATTTTTTTATTTACAATTTTGCCTATAGTTCGATTTTGTATATTTTTTAAGTTTATAAAAATGGAGTTGTTTTTGCAAGTCAATTTATTTTCTACCCAGTATTTTTTCCCCTGAGATTTAGATCTGTTACAGAGCCTCTTTCCTTGATTCTAGTGCTGAATTATGTTTTTCCACTAGGACTTGTTCTAGTACTTTGCTTTGCAATTACAAGTGATATTGCTGCAAACATTCTTATACATGGCTCTTGGCCTTTTGCTTCCTGGTGCACATGTGCAGAAGTCAGTCCAGAGCTTTATGCTTGCACATAATCAGATCCAATCATGTATTTTTGGTGTCTCATTATTTTTCCCCGTAGGGGTGTCAAGTTTCAGATGGCAAGAAAGAAGAAATTGTATCAATAATCTTGAATAAAAATGTGTGAAGAAGAAGAGAACTTTTAGAGCACAGTTTAGTCATTATCAGTTCTGATTTTTGAAAATAATTGGTTTCAGTATTCTATTTCATTTTTTTGTAAATTATTAGCTGTACGAAATGTACCTATTACATGCCTCTGGCTATCATTGATTGTTAGAAGACAGTACAGTATGACATTACAATGGTAATAACCACATTCCTAGGACAGAGTCTTGACTTTATTAGGAGGATTCAGATGAATATCTGATCCTCCACCCAAAGCAGAGCTCCTTACTCAGTATAACAGAAGAGATACTGAGGTATGGAGAGGAACATATTTCCAGATGTGAGTCACTTTGAAAACCAAAACAAACCAAATGCTTCATTTCCCAAGTTGATACAATATAATTTTTCCACTTTGTAACATCTTACTATTTTCACTTATTTGCTTGTGATAAATGTCTGGGATAAATATGTATCATGTCCAATGTGCATAAATTTCAATAGTTTATGTGTTTTCCATTATTTGAAAGCTTACTTTGAAAAAAATTAAGGTACATAATTGTTAATACCTAAAATAACTTCAGAATCTACATAAAGTAGGTACATGTATTTATTGTTTCATTCAAGAAGATAAATGAATAGCTGGACCTTATGGCAGATGCCTGTAATCTCAGCACTTTGGAGGCTGAAGAAGGAAAACTGAGTTTAAGGCCAGCCTGAGCTACATAGTAGGTGAAAAAGAAAAAGAAAAGGTAATTAACTAAAGATTCAGTAATTAAGTAAAGATTTTTTCTTTTTACTTTTGAAGTGTATCCTTGCTGAAAAATTTACCTGAAGATAAACTAACCAAGATCATTGACTGCTTAGAAGTGGTAAGATATTTTAAAGTAAAATGTAAATTTCATTAGATTTTATCATCTACTGCTATTATTAGAACTGTAAATGAATCAAGAGGCAAAGGTGGTAGATTATCAGTTTCCAGAGATTGAGAGTCATTTCCTACTGTGAAAAATTTTAGTCTAGCTCTTGCTGAATTTGGGGTCCAGAAAAGGTTAGATTCTTTTGAAATTTACCCAAAGAAAGTAGATTTGCATGTGTACAGTGAAAAAGTTGATTTACATATTTTAATCTTTTTAGTTATGTTATAAAACTAACCTTCCCTCCACAAGAGGTATTTGATTTTTCTACAATTAGCATCACAATCCCTTGCAGAATTTTCATAGTATAAAAGAGGCAGTGAGGCGTAATTGGGAGCTAGAGCACAGAAAGGGCATGTGGTTGCTTTTGGTGACAAGCCTCTGAATCAGCCTCAGAAACATTCTCTCCTTGAACACTCCAGGCCATGAAAATATACTTACAGAAACTGAACTCAAGAAGCACATTACCTGTGTGAACATCTACAGGAAAGTGGTGTATTGGAATGTGCTCAAAACTCATTTTAGCACTACTCAGATGGTTGGTTTTAATCCAGGATTTGTCAAGTTGGTGAATAATGCTTTTATGACATGTACCTTGGTTTCTAATGATGTGCATTTTATGAAAACCTCTTCAGATTTCAGAGATTAAAATTCAAAACAAATAACCTCTCTAACTTTTTTCGGGGGGTGAGGGCATGTATGCAGAGATGGGTCATGTTCAATGAAACCAGAGTGGCTTTTATGGAACTGAAAGGAGGAAGGGACTGGTGAAAGAGTCATATGGAGACTTGGAGCATTCAAGTGGCTCTCAGTGGGAGGAAAATAGAAAAGTACTGCAAGACTGGTTGTTGACAGATTCATGCCTCTGTCAATCACACTGAACAACACAAACTAGTATCTGTTGAGAAGGGAGAAGGGGTCATTTTATCCTAAGTGTAAGTGACACCAGTAATGTTCCCATTTACAATTCATGGAAGCCATCCAGCCATTTATCAAGGACAGGTCATGATGACACAGAGCATGCCCTGGATCTGCCAGGGGCTTCAGATATGAAGTCATTTTCAAGAAGACTGCTGGCGCAGCATCTCTTGGGATTTCCTCAGTGTGTAACATAACCCAATCACAGATGTTACATATTAATAATTCATCCCAAATTCTGAGGGTGCTTTATGTTAGAAAAGCAAGAGAGACCCTGTATTTTTTGTTAACCAAAGAAATCTGTTTTTAATATAATACTAATAGAGTAGACTCACCAGAGGGAAATTCCATGCTGACAGCAAATATGAAAATTATCATTAAAAATAAATGATAAATTAGACATTTTTTCATGTATAAGCAATCACAAGGAACATAAAATGGGGGCTCAAACCCAGTGTTAATTAGCACACAATTCATGTATGAGAGTCTCATCTTTTAAACACCGTTGAAAATTTGCTTTCCTGTATCTTAGCATTTGCACACAGCAGCACAGTTTATAAAGAGCTCTTTATTCATACCTGGCAAACAAATGTGTCTCTATAATGTGTGAAAATTCTCAGATGAGAAAGTGATGAACAAGGGAGTAATGAGATTCTATTTAGGTCTAAGAAACGCACATAACTTATCAGTATAGTTTGGACTCGTGACCCATCAACATGGTCCTGACAAGTCACTCCCTAATGCACAGAGTTATGATGGAGCATCCGCTGAGTTCTCAGACCAACTGTTCCACAAACTGGTTCCATGATCTCTGAGAAAACAGACAGAGTCTGTTATGCTGCCTAGGAATTGAAATAGAAGGATTTTTCTTTGGGTGTGCTGGGAGGTGGGGAAGGGGAGACTGAAGGGATATAGAGAACAGAGAGTTCATCATCAAGCAGTTCATCTCGTATGTTTAAGATCATTGCATATTGAAGTTCTGGAGCAAAGGGCCCCAATTGTGCAGTGGTCCACTTGCTCTCTTGATTTTTCTTTTTTTCTTTTTGGTTGGTTGTGGGGCTTGAACTCAGGGCCTGGGCACTGTCCTTGAGCCTCTTTGTACTCAAGGCTAGCACTCTACCACCTTAGCCCCGGCACTTCTACCATTTTTCTGATAGTTAATTGGAAATAAGTCGCATGTGGACTTTTCTGCCCAGGCTGGCTTTGAGCCTCGATTCTCAGATCTCAGGCTTCTGAGTAGCTAGGATTACAGGCTTGAGCCATAGGTGTCTGGCAGCTCTCTTGCTTTTTCGCTTGAGTTGAATAGAGTGTTCTTTCTCAAAGAGGTCACTGCCTTGATGTCTTTCCTGTTCTGATGGAAACATGAGTGGGAGTATTACCAATCCTCTAGTGAGCTTTTGGAGTCAAATAAGGAGAATCACAAAGCATGATACAGTTTCAGAATGGAGGGTCACAACTAATGAAATGGAAATCACATTGTGGCTTGTGCACCTGGCTGTTGTGCAGTGTAGAAGAAAGAAGAAGGTGTTTCTGTTCCCCTCTCAGGGTGACAGGAATTTGAATGTGTTCTCCTGAGTCATAAGCACAGTGATTAATTGGGATATCACCTGACTGTTACATATCCCTGGAATCTGACCAGTGGCCTTCCTCATTTCTGTTCAACCTGTGTCTTTCACAATGCCCCATTTGTACTAGGGGCTGGGAAAGAAGTAGCGTGCAACATATTCCTTCTTCATACCCATGGTGCTTACTGAAAGGCATATTTGTTGGCACCCATACATTTCTGAGCCCGAAACGGTGGTAGGCGTCCCCAGATCTACATTATAAACATTTCCAGTTGGGATGTTTGTGTTCAGTGAAGTGTGAGGTGCACTGGTTTGTTTATGAATAGAATATATATATATATGTATATATGTATATTCAGAGGGCTTCTTCATTGTGGAATTTTAATCATTTTGTTTCCAACTCTAGTCTTCCTTTCTTACAGACCTCTCACAGTGTGTAATCCAGAGAGAGGGTTTTCCTCATTTTAATGATTACCACTAGAAACATAGGAAAGCAGAAATACTTGTGGATGTGGCCACAGTTATCTCAGAGGTGTAGATGTGGGAAGTTCACTAGTCCAAAGGCTGGAAATGAGTGTTGGTGTTCTCTGCCACTATCCTGTCAGTTAGTTGTACTGGACATATAGTGTCCACATACTCACAAAACAACAGGATGATGGGTCGCATTATTATGAGTTTTCATTCTTGTAGATCACAAATTCTGCATAGCTGCCTTGCCTTGGAAATTAAAAGCCAGGTACTAAATTAATGCAGAAAAGTTGATAGGGTCCACATAATATATGTCTGTTTGCTTTAAAATTTTTAACCTATCTTAAACATTGTACTTGAAAACTAAAAACACAAATGGTAACAACCCAAACTGTAAACAGTTTATAAACAACAAATTTGTATATATAGTTGCAGGATTCATGGAAGTGTGTTCGTGTGTGTGTGTGTGTGTGTGTGTGTGTGTGTGTGTGTGTGTATCATACATCTAGTTATATGTTGACATTTCTTTATAATGAAGATTTCTAGCCACAAATGCAAACTAGCAATTCTTAGGGAATCTATCTAAGCTTGCTTATTTGTTTTTCTTCCACATCCTTGTAGTTTTCTTGTAGTTTTATATAGGCTTTTTACAGGCAATCTGTATTTAGTCTTTTGCTACACTAACACAAAATTAGTGTCTTCCTTAGTGAAAAGTAAAATCTTTCCATCTATAGCTGCTGCTGTCTGTGTGCACGGTTTTCTTCTGATCTTCTCAGTCTACCCTGAAATTGATTTTTTTTCTGCCCACACACCAAACTAAGTATTCTCATAGCTTTTAGTCATCTTCCTTTAAAACATTTGTGACCAAGCTACAGACCACAAATCATTACTAGGTCATGAAGCTGACTGAGTAGGAAGACTTTTAAAAATCAGAGTAGTAAACACAAATACTATTTTGAAAAATACATTTTAATTTACAAGGGTCTACATATGTGCATACTCTTATAAATACATTGGCTGTACATGTGAAATATATTTCTTACTGTAAATCAGAAAAAAAATGCTTGAAAACCATTCCTTTACAAGACATGGCTTCTGGGTCCTTTAAAAGACCCCTTTGCAAGGAAACCACAGGGACAATAACCACACTGTTTGCATTTCTCTTTTTGGTCCTGGTGACCACCCTGGCTTGACAAACACTGGAGAGTCTAGCATCATGGCCAGTACTTACCACCATATATTTTGGTCTGACCTATTTCCACAGCTTTGTCTGATCTATGAAGTTACTGTCAACACACTGGGAGGTATTATTCATGATCCTGCTGAAGTTGGGGGTGACAAAGAATCACTCTTGGGAAAAATACTAAGAGGAAAATTGTCTCTCAAGAAACAATAAAGCTCTTTCTCAGTATCCCCCTTCAAACATTTTATTTTTAAACCTATCTGGTTGACAAGAATGAAAGCCACACCTCTGTATACATCAAAGACTTTATCATAATATAAAAACAGTTGAATGGCGCTGCCAAAATTCCCCATGTCTTTCTGATCTGTAGGTAATGGGGACAGAGATTGGGATAGGGACAGAAAAGATTGGAGAGCAGATGATCAGAACCAGGAAAAAAATCTGACATGACTGCAGTTTTAGTTAAAGGAAAGGGGTATTAAACTAAGAGAATGAAGACACCTGGACTTTGGTATTGTGATCATCCTTAAGGGTCATAATCAATATCTCTGTAAAACTTGTCTGCAAAGACTTGTAATAAGTCTAAAATGAGAAATAGGTGAAGAGGTAAAGGAAGCAAAACAGAATGCAAAGACGTTCAGAACGTCCCTGTCCATATGAAATAGAAACGTGTCTCTTGTTCACATAGCAGTCCAGGGAGGATGTTCCTGCTCAGATCCACATAAACTCCTAGGAACTGAAGCTGATGACTCCTTGGCCATTTCTATCAGCAAGTGGTTCTCAAGATTTCACAGGGTCATTCATTAAAATAGGGGGTGGGGGTTGTGGGGTTAAAGTTCTGAACATGTCAGCATGAAAGTATTCACAGGCTTGACCTGGATGACCTCTGCCCCAGTTCTTTCAGATCAAAGTTAATTATAGGGTTACAACTAAAGTAGGAACCTGATTTCCCTGGGTGGCCATATGTGCCTGCAGAGGACTCAGGATCAGTTTGTAGCCTCTTCCCAGGCATTACAGCCACCAGATGCCTGGTATATTCCAAATACTCTACCAGGCACATCAGATGTACATCTCCTACTCATCCTCAATGTTAGGTTGTGGTAGGTATATAATCTTAATTTTACAGCAAAGGAAACTGAAGTGCAGTATATAGAACAGCTAAGCAAATATAACTATCTTCATCTTTAGCACAGAAACTATTAATAGGACATTTACTATATGCAAGATGTTCTTAGTGCCCCAGAAAACATTGTCTTTAACTAGTTTATTCAAAAAAGGAAAATGATTCTCCAAAATGCCAAACCCTAATCCCTGCAATGTGTGACTATGCTATAGTTTATGGGTTAAGGGACTTTGAAGATACATAAAGGCTTGGAGCTTTAAATAGGGCATTATTCTGAACTGGCTAGGTGAGCTGGATATCAGTATATGAGCCCTAAACAGAGGAGAAATTTCTTGTTAGAGTAGAGGTGCCATGGGTAAGAATTGTACAGACCATTACTAATTCTGTAATATAGAGGGTCCAGGAATAATATATAGGCCTCCAGGAGTGAAAAGGTAGTCTCTTCTGACAGCTGGTAAGGAATTGGGGACCTCATTCTACAAATGAATTCTGCCAACAACCTGAATGAGACTTAAGGCAGGTTTTCCATGCGCTTCCAGAAGGAAATGCATCTCCATTGGTGACTCAGATTTTGCATTGAGATACCCCAAACAGAGAAGTATAATCAAGCCAGGCTGTGCCTGGATTTTCTGATTCCCAGAAGTTATAATATAATAAAAGAGTTTCTAAGCCACTGAATTTGTGGTCATTTGTTTCAGTGGCAGAGAAAACTAATGTAGTTTTCTAAGTCTTTGAAAGTAAATGGTCTAAGACTTGAATGGTAAATGGATTTTAATTTTATGCATTGATAAGTGGAAGTCAGTGTAGAACTGGGATTTGAAACTAGATAGTTAGATTCAAAATACTTTCCCCCATAAGAAATTATACTTTTTTCAATGACATGTTGAAATGTCTTTTAAGTATGCACGATGCTATGTATATAAAATTTTTTTATTCACATTAGGAGTACTATTTATTTAATAAATGTGAGTTGGTCTTAAGAGTACATTGACCAGTAAAATAATGAAATTCACTCACACAAAAGTAGTTTAGTTTGGAATTTATTTTCACATCTAAATGACAAACAAAGGAGAGCTATTATGTTGTGGTTTATGTCTTTTTAAAAAATTCAACAAGCCCGTTTCATGTGCATAAATAATTAATTAAGAGATCCATTTCAGCTCTATAACTTTGAGACAAGATCCAATTAAAGCAATTTAGAGACGGACAGTTAAATCTATCTTTTGCTTTCTAAGGTACTAGATTGGTCTTTTTCTTTAAGAAGCGGATAAATTACATTTCCTTGCTCAAGAATTCTCTAGTTTCATAATAATCTGTGAGGGAAAAAAACAATAAACATAAGAAGAAATATGTGAACATTTGAAATTTAATTAAGATAAATCAACCCACAAAATTTCCAAAAACATCTAACTTCTTCATATTGTAAGATGCTGTCTTTAAAAAGAACATGTATGACAGAACTAGTTAGCATGTCTATAGGATCTTTGTAGGAGTAATTGCTCTTTAGAGAATTAGAAATTGAGACTATCTGTTTCAATATCCACAAGGGATAGTATTTTCAACAACTATGTAATCATTTGCTCTTTTCTAAATGCTTTTTTCTACATGTAATCTTCAGAGAGTTGCCAATCACTAAGAAGCTTATATTTAGGTGAAAGCTCATTGCATGTTAGTTATGTTTATTTTATTTTTATGATATTGTTCTCCATAGCTAAAATTCAGTGTTCCAAGTGAATTTTTTCTGAAACCAAACAAAACTACAAATGCAATGTAGATAATAAAGTAAGTTTCCTAACCTTTTCCACAGTTGATGATGGCAATTTAAGAAAAGCTTAAGGTTACAATGAGCAATAAATAAAAGAAGCAGGTGCAAAACATTCATTTCAGATGTAAAAGTTCTATTGCCTTTATGTCTTCAGTTGTATGCCTCTACTTGCATCTAACATTTTCTCCTGTCATCCCAATAGGAATACTATGACAAAGGAGATTATATCATTCGGGAAGGAGAAGAAGGAAGCACTTTTTTCATTTTGGCAAAAGGAAAGGTAAATATTAATTAATGTGTATTTAACGTAAACCAAAAAGGTTTATCCATAAATGCATAGTGCTCTTTAGATTTGTGACGCTATAAATCTTCTGCATCTTATGGGCAAAAGAACTTCCTTGGGAGCATTTCCTGGGGTTCTGCAAAAGAGGTAGATTTTGGGGTAATGCAACAAGAGGCCTGTTCTGAATTACAGCTGAAGAGTAATTCTTTTAGTGACTGACCTCATGCAATTACTCCACTTTCTTTGGGCCTAGCTTCATTATGTATAATGGCTAGGTTATCTCTGAGGTCCTTTATTATCAATAAGTGTATATTTCCCATCAATCCAAGAACAGTGCTGGAATATTATTTCATCCAGCAGACAGGATGACAAGCATGTAGAGAAAAATACAGTCAACAGTTGATGGCTATAAAAGCTATAAAACCAACATGGATTGAGAATTTTATAGTCTGTAACTCAAACTGATTTACATATGGGTGCAAATTTTTCTTTATATACATTTGTCTATCTATCAGTGTATCCTATCTACATATCCTTCATGTGTCTGTGTCATTGTTCTTTTTCTTAACTTAGTTTTTAAGTGGGTAACTGTTCTGTGTTGACTCAGTGTTCCTCAGAGACACAAGGGCATTTGTGAAATATTGAGGAATAGACTCAACTCTTGAGCCCCTGTATCTTTAAGTTGCCAGATAGTTTATATTTTATATATTCTGTGGAAGAGTTTATTATCAGAGTCAGGTGTTTTCTTTTGTAATTTTTTAGGGGTCTGGTCATGGGGCCTGAACTCTGGGCCTGGGCGCTGTCCCTCAGCTCTTCAGTTCAAGGCTAGCACTCTACCACTTGAGCCACAGCGCCACTTCCGGCTTTTTTCTTTTTGCTTATGTGGTGCTGAGGAATAGAACCAAGGGCCTCATGCATGCAAAGCAAGCGCACTGAGCCACATTCCCAGCCTCTGTAATGTTTTTTTTGTTTACAAAAATGCAACTGAACTTTGAACTGTGCCCCCAGTGAAAGAAAAATATTGACAAAATGTTTCAAACCTTTGGACCAGCTAACACTCAGAACTAATTCTTACGATGTCACCTCCATATGGTCCTTGTGGTTAAAAGAAAGAATTCTGGTCAATAAAGGGGTTGTACTTATTCTCAATATTTTAAAAAGTTAATTCATTAACATAAATGTCAGAAATTCTAATCATCATGAAATAACACTATTACCATGTTGACTTGAAATAATTCTAGCCATAAATAGGTAATGTTGAAGTTTTTGTTTGTCTTTGCTATGGGGTTCTTGTACTTTCTTGGACCATATTTCATTTTAGGATGCCCAAAGAAGTTGTGGTCCTTTCTCCAAACTACATCTTGTATTCCATTTCAGAGGGTACATAGGATCTGGCTATTTTATGATACTTGTGATTGTGTGTTAACTCAATTAGACTTTTTGAAATAAAAAAACATGAAACACAGGACCATTAATATTTGCTTTGAGGATCTGTAGGAAGGAGCTACTAAATTCATTTTTAAAAGTTACCTTGAAATATGTTATATGTATGAAATCATATAATAAAGCCCACCAAACGATTTGAAAAGGAAAGGAAAGACATAGATAGAAGTCTAAAAGAGGGGGTAAATTTGTTCAAAGTACATATATGTGTATATAGAATTACCACAATTAAACACTCTTTCACTATTGATGTATGCTAGTTTAAAAATAGTAAAATAATGTATAAAAACAGTAGCTTTAAAAAATTAACTTCTCTCTTCTTTTAATTCTGTAACATCACTTAGGTAAAAGTCACACAGAGTACCGAGGGCCACGATCAACCACAGCTGATAAAAACCCTGCAGAAAGGAGAGTACTTTGGAGAAAAAGCTCTCATCAGGTGAACCCATGAATTTATATGGATACTTAAAGTGCTTGGACTGTTTTATGTGCATATGAAACTATTTATTCAGAATTGTCAAATTGAGCTACCAACAAATGGCAACAAATACCTAGGAATGAAACAAAAATGTTTGGATGGCTTCAAAAAATTGACATGAAGGATACAATTATACTAACTTTGCACAGAAAATCATTGAGAAGTCTCAAGTTTGTTAAGAAAAATAAGGTTGGAGTTGTATTAGGTTTGAGTCTGAAATAAGAGAAATGATTGAATGGGAAACAAGTAAAATGGGAAATGATTAAAATGAGAAAATTTGAAACAAAAACAATTTTTACAAAACTTGAAATAATTTTTGTAATCAAATGGAAACTTTATAAAATTGTGAGGTTTATTTTTGTCCAATCACAGTTACTTAAGTCAGGTAATGGCTTCCCTAACTTTCTCCCAGATTTTCCATCCAGTCTCCACCCACATGTTGTAGTTCATTTTCCATATGGTTTCTAGTGAGTACCATTGCTGCATTTGTTCACCTAAATTGTGATTATTTTAAATCATCATTTAAAAAGTAAGGCATACTTAGGAATTTCTGAAAGTTTTTTATTTTGCACATTTTAGAAACAACTCAAAATACTATATTTGAAATTTTTATTTCAACCTTCAATCTTTTGAGGTATGAGTTCTTTTGCTATCGATCTACCTCATGAACAAATGTTTTCAATGGCAGATAAATGGCTCAGGGGTCACACCGCACTGCCTGAAACTCAAAAAACCTCATGTGTAAAGAAATACACTTTCCTAAGTATAAGTAGCTTCCTGAAATATCAAGCGACATACCTTTTTTTGGAGTGACATATGTTCTTATGCAGATACTTGGAATTACTTAAGATCTCATTTAAAATTGATGCTGTAACTAAATTATTGAATTCCAGATTTATGCTTAGAGGAAATAAGTTGCATTGCTGTTCATTTATTATTTTCTTGGCTGCTTTATGAAGTCTAGATTTTGCTGATTTGTATGACAGGTTTGTCTAATTTCAGTGAAAAAAAGTACTTAGAAATTACTTAAAGACAAATTTGATTATTTTAAAATTATAAAGCTATTCATTTTAAAAGCAAACTCAAGTATTAAAATTTTTAAAATGGTTATAGCTTATTAAACAATTTATAAATAATATTAAAGCCAGGCTGAACTTTGATTTTTCAGTTTCTAGCCGATAATGGGATAATTTCAGTAACAGGGAAGTTATCTTTCTTGTAATAGATAATCATCATGTACTATCATCTAAGACTTCAGTATGTCTTTTTAACATTTATAGATTATTTTTCTCATACTTCTAGACAAAACAAGCTCATACTCAATTATATTTTCTTCCTAGGACAAACAGAAAGTTAGATTTAATACATAAACATTCAATTCCTCACATTATTTGAAAACATAAAGCTAAAGTGAATGAGAAGGATGTTGCAGTCAAATATTTTTTACATTTTTATGCTATCACTTTTTTAGGAATTGCTTACTGTGACTCAGATTCCTTGTATGCTATACACATTCATGACTTGATATGAAATAGTTCTACAAGTTCTTGAATAATTTTATTTGTAGAAATAAATCCATGGCATTTATACAGTTACTGTGAAATAACCTGGAGTATATGAACATTGAATAGTTATAAAGCATTTGTCAGTGACCACTGTGACACTGACATGTGAAAGGAATGTTATATCTTTTTGCTTTGTCTGAATTCACAAACCAAATAGTTGGTCTACAACCCAAGGCTATGTGTATGTTCATGGCTATATCCACTTCTCCATGCCTCTTATCTCAACTTTCTCTCTCTTTCCCTCTCTCTCTTTAGTTACATGCACAAATTGAGCACTATCTACTGTGCCCTTGATCTAAAAACTCACTAAACTGATGTTCTCACTAATACTGTCTAGCCAGGATCTTGTAAACTGGGGAGAGACTCTACCATAAGTTATGCGTGATATCAATTAGGCAGACACAGAGCTTCTTTGAAATGGAAGAGATGGGCTATGGGCGGAATTTCTCTTTGGGCCTTGAGTGATTCCATACTCTGCAGGTTGCCATTTATATTGAAGTTGTCCAGAGCTTTCCCAATGTTTACTTCTAGGTCACCTACAATGGATCTCTGAACATTGAATACTAGATAAAAGGTGTACCTTTCTGGCATCTTGAACTTATAACAGGGGGACAAATCTAACATAAATAAGGCTTCTAATAAAAAAAGAAATACATTAGTTATATTTGACTCATTGGCCCTCATTAAGAAATTAAACTTGCCATTATATAATATATAATCCATCCTAAGATGAACTATTCTACTATGCACCTTTAAGATGCTACTATTAACCACACTACATTTTATTATCAGCTGTAATTCATGTATATACTCATTTCATATTTTAAATCAATAATATTAATTTTAGATTCTATGAGATGAAGGTATATTAGTATTTAATGGAATGAATGATATGGCACTGAACACCATTTGGGGATTTTATTTTCAAGAGGTTTATCATATTTTAATTTCTTGACTTTTTCCCAGCAAATCTCTCTGATGAATTTCTTTTTAACTTTGACTTCATGCTAATTAGTTGTTCTTCTTTGATCAAGAGGTAGGTATTTTATTTTGAGTGACACAATGCTAAGAACAACATTCTATACAAAGTTATAGTCAATGATTTCTGTATGTTCCCAGCACAGTTATCTACTCTGAAATTTTGTATACATAACCTTATTGGAATGCATTTCGAATCTCTCTGTGTATGAGTTTTTACATGTAGGCATGTGTGTGTGTGACTATGTGTGAAAATAAATCACAATGTTAAAAAAGTATAGTGTTTGAAAGTTTAAGTGATGGATGTGACTTTTGTGTCAAGTAGTAGATTCTCTAACAAAGATGAATGTGTGGTTTCTAACTGTATCAAAAGCTGACTTCCCTGCTTTTGTCCACAGTGATGATGTCAGATCAGCTAACATTATTGCTGAAGAAAATGATGTCGCGTGCCTGGTTATAGATCGAGAGTGAGTACATTTATGTTGCTGGAGAAAGCAGACTATTGCTACCACAGAAGACTTGGCCTTCTGTTACTCCAAAGGCTGTTTGGGTTTTTTTTGTTGTTGTTTTTTTGTCTTTTTCATCACTACTCAGAAATGCTGGCCAATCCTCAGCTGTGAGCACTTCTGATTAAAATTCATGAGAAGGAACTGGGTCTTCTGATCTAATCTGTCTGTGGCACTGGCAGATGCTGGCAGGCTAAATATTTTGTGTGCAAAGTTTGTACATAAATACCAGCCGTAGACTGATTTAAATTCTACATTGTCTAGAGAAATACGTTTATTAATGGCCTTATGGATTTATTCCCATACACATAGTGAATCATTTTTTTAAATTTTTATTCAATAACCTGGCTTAAACACATTATTGATTACTTATTTATACTTTTGTACTGATAGCAACTCAGGTGTTTAGGCTCTTGTTCAGGTTTCTCTAGTATTTAATTAGTTGGGTGATAAGGCACTGTAAACACTATCTAGGGATTTTATTCTTAACTGGTTAATCATATTTTGATTATTTGACTGTTTTTCTAACAAATCTCTCTGATAAATTCATTTTTAATTTACCTCCTTGCTAATTAGTCTTTCTCTTGTAATCAGGAGAGAGGCATTTGGGGGGAGGTTGTCACTCTACCACTTGAGCCATACTTTCAGTACAGGTTTTTTCCCCCCTGATTAGTTACGGATAGGAGACTCGAGATTTTCCTACTCCGGCTAGCTTCAAACCCCAATCTTCGGATCTCAGCCTGCTGATTAACTACCATTATAGGCCATAATTTGTTTTCTAATGCTGTGAGTAATCAAAATAGTTTTGAACAAACTCTCTCTCAACACATAAAATATTCAGTGACAACTTATATTTACAGAAAAGCCTAAAATTTGCATTGATTTGTGCCAGGTATCAATATTTTTGTCTTTCTTGGACTTTTTTTTTTCTGCTTATGTGGTTCTGAGGAATCGAACCCAGGGCCTCATGCATGCAAGGCAGGCGCTCTACCACTGAGCCAACTTCCAGCCCATCTTGGACTTATTTTGAATAACTTTGATTTTATATCCTTCACCCATGTCAAATTATGTTTTTACATGGCATCTTGGGTCTACTAATAATCAGTTAAACATTTTTTGCCTTACTAGATATAAGAAAAGAAATTCAAATATATCAAAGCTGGGCTATTGTCTATGTAAAATCATAGTATAGCCAAACAAATGGATGTACTCATGAGAAGTATCAGAAAACCAGTGAAATGACAAGAGGTCTTACAAAGGAGTATATAGTCAACTGCTGATTTAATACAAAGAAAATTTCAATTATGCCCACTAAACAGTCACTTAATATCTTATCCATAAGCCTCTTACGAATCTATGCTTTCTTCACACTTATTAGGCAAATTCCAAACCTAAAATTATTTCATCTAGAAGCCAAGTGTTACTTAAAAAGTTCGACACAATAATGCTAATATGTTTTTATTTATTTATTTATTTATTTTTTTGTTGGTTATGGGGCTTGAACTCTGGGCTTGGGAATTGTCCCTGCGCTTTTCAGCTAATATGTTTTAAAAACCTGGCACTTCTTGGTATTACTTAGAATTGTATTTATTCTCCCTTACAGATAAGAAAAGTGAATATAAAATAGATTAAAGAATTGTCCAACAGTGCATCTGTGATTAAGAAGGATCTATTTCCAGCCTTCCTGAGTCATTTCCATCTTCTCTCTTCTCTCTTCTCTTTTCCATTTGGCTCTCATAGCACCTGCTCAGAAAGTGAAGCAGTGGCTATGTGGCCAAATGGTCAAAATTGAATTTTATTTTTTAGTGTGGGAATGGGGCTTAAAGAATTAACAGGATCTTTCTGAGTAAAGTACAAATATGGAACTCACTTCAGGTGAAATAAAATTCCAAAGAAAAGATGCAGGGCTACGAAAGTGTCAAAGGTGCTCAGGTAAAGGTAATTTTTGGATGACACTTCTCATGTGGAAAATGTTTTGGTACAATATTGTCTCAATTGTTCATTTTTCTATATGAGTTTCTTAAAAATACATGTATGAACTGAATAATATTGGCTGTAGGCTATAGTTTTGAATTGTTAGGACAGAATATATGATAGAGAGGAAGAACTCTTCATTCTTCATTGCAATCACATACATGCAATGTTTGTATATTAACTCTCTGTTTTACAGATTATTTGTAAGCTTATAATTTAAAAGTTTAATTTACATGGGTATTATTGGTTGTCTGTATGTTTGGCACAATACAAAATGAAATATGATATGAAGAGAATTTGAGCATCAGCTACAACTAGGTTGTACTACAATTTTAATTTCTTTGGACACTTAGGGTTATCCCAACATTATATTTATTATTTACATTTCATTTCATTCTGAAAAGTATTGGTAACAAGTGGTATGATCATCCTAGTTATGACTTACAGATTCAATTAAGTTCCTAAAATAATGCTTACAGAGCACCCTGTATTTCTAATTTTAAATTTACACTTAATTGTTTCAATTAACATCTGTCTTGCCATTCTTCTGCAAGCTTCATGAATACAGCAACATGGCACTCATACCATGAGGCTGCATTTCAGCATCTGACATAGTCCTTGGCATGAGGACAGTGCTTACCAGATGGTGGTTGAATGAAGGGCACCACCTTGAACTGAGATGCAGTGACTGAAAGCTTCCAGATCTGCATTTCTTCTTTCATAGGCATGATTTCTAACAAATGCTTAGAATGTTTACAGGGCCAAAAAGGAGAGTTGAAAGTCTGGGTTTTCATTCCTATTTTGCAAAGTTGATAAAACCTGTGAATTTATTGTATGGCAAGAGCTCTAAACAAATGGCAAGTACTACTGGTGACGTCTCCATTACTGATCGATCAAATCCCAAATGAGTTGATTAGTCTGTCCTTCAAACTGTGAATAAACACAGGCTGTGTCAAAGTTACAGCTAGAATGTAGCTATTCAACCATTGCTTTAAGATTAAGGAGCAAACGTAAGAGGCTTTTCTTTGTTGTTGTTGTTTTTAATGTACTATGTGCTTTCTTGTTTCTTTTGTATTATTCTCCCTATGGTTTATTTCCTGTTGTCACTGTATTTGATTTTGGTACTCTGATATTATATATACATTTATCTGAATTAGGGAAGGGAAAAGGAAACAGCAGAATGGTGAGACAAAGGACAAGGGGGAAAACAATGTAACAGCAACATATACAAGACAAAATGTTGGAAATGATCTTTACAACTTGGTGGGGGGAGGGTGGAATTAGGCAGGAGGGAAAGTAGGAGAAAAATGAGGGAGGGGTAACAAGTTCATTAAGAAATGTACTTATTACCTTACTTATGTAACTGTAACCCCTCTCTATCTCACTTTGACAAAAAAAAAATATTAAGGAGCAGAGTCTACAGGGACTTGTGATACCAGTGTCACCTACATGTAAAATAAGATGTGTTTATAATAATATTTCAGTGAGTTTAATAGCAAAGAACAAATGTTGTCAAAGGGTAGAATAAAATGAAAACAAAAGCACACAAAAATCTTTTTTTTTATTTGAAAGTTTCAGCTGTTCTGGAAATCAGAAATCCCACAGCAGTATTATTTTATCTCTTACTGCAGCCAACAAGGGTCACGTTACAGAACAATCAGAAAAGAATGGAAGGTGTTTATGGAAGTGAGGCTAAAATGGCAGCCTAGTTCTTCAATACCTGCTGAGTAATATGAAAGTTAATTGTCAATTAAATGTGTGTAGACGCAGTCAATCATGACAATACATGATTGAGGTGGTACTGGTTTTATTTAGTTTTAGATGTTTGTAGGTAATGTTTGTTTTATTATATACCAGTTGCTTAATGTTACTGGGATGTTTAAAGCAGGTTCTCTACTTTCAAGGTTACTATTTTGTTGTAGAGAATAAAAGTACCCAATAGTCACAAATCAAGGTAAATGGCTAGATGTGGGCATGTGTGAAGCTTTACAAGTATATAACTAAGAAAATGATTCTTTCACTGGGGATGCTTTTCCTCATAGGTAGCCTAGTATACAAGAAATCCCAATGACAAGGGACTGGATGGGACATTAGAACAGGCATCCAATATATCTGTTATCTAATTAGCATGAGCTAGCATGCATCTTTGAGAAATATTAAGTTAAAGTAAAAAAAATATTGGAGAAGTTGGGCACTAGTGGCTCACGCCTGTAATCCTAGCTCTTCAGGAGGCAGAGATCTGAGGATTGTGGTTCAAAGCCAGCCCGGGCAGGAAAGTCCATGAGACTTTTACCTCCAATTAACCACCAGAAAACCAGACGTGGTGTTGTGACTCAAGTGGTAGAGCGCTTGCCTTGAGCTAAAGAGCTCAGAGACAGCACCAGGCCCAGAGTTCAAGCCCCACGACTGACCAAAAAACAAAATATTTATATATATTGGAGAACTTAATTATGAAAGAATGTTAAAGGTAACAATGCTCAAAAGGAAATATACTCATTACCTTACTCATGTAACTGTAACCCCTCTGAACAGTATTTTTACAATAAAAAATATAAAAAAGAATGTTAAATGTGGGAAATGGCCAGAGACAAAGAAGAAATGTTTGTTTTAAATTTTAACATATATAATCTAATGTAATTAAACAATATTAGAAGAATCTGTAACATTTGCTACCCGTAGATTCAGAAAACACATCAGATAACCTCCTTTTCACTGTCTCAAAACAATACAAAGCCAAAAAAAGAAAGAAAGAAAGAAAGGAAAGACTGTTGAGAAACCAGAACTGCAAACAGAAATCTGTAGAAAATGTTTGATCTTCTCACTGATAACTGTTTTCAGAAACTCAAAGGATAAATATAAACTTCTGGTAACTATTCTACATTATTACAGCCTCTTTTTACATTCCATAAATGATTTTAAACAGTTATGAAAGCCACAAATAACTGAAGT